ATATATATATATATATATATTACTCCATATATATATATATATATATATTATATAAACTTATATATAACATATGCCTCTATCCAGCTGCCGAGCTGCAGTAGTCTTTGCTTCCTAAATTTTCTCTGCTTTGTTTGTTTGCGCTTAGAGCGAGTGATGAATTATATTTGAAGTAAAGGGTTTTAATAAAAGGATTAAACTGCTGCTCAGGAAGAGCTCGGGTGTCTACATGCATGCATGTTTATCTCTGCTACTGCTGCTGCTGCTGCTGCTGCTTGTTTGCTAAATGCCTGCTGCAGCAGCAGTCCCTGAGCAGCAGCAGCAGCAGAACCCGGGCAGCTGCAGCAGCAGCAGCAAAGACTACGACGCAACAGCAGCAGCACGTGTCTATTACCAGCTGCTTTTTCTGTGTTGCTGCTTCTGAGAAGCACAATCCCCCTCATCTACCCCGCCTCCACCTGCAGCTAGCTAGCTAGCCACAAACAAAGCTAGCTAGCTAGCTAGCTAGCTAGCTAGCTAGCTAGCTAGTTAGTCAGTTGAGGGTGCAGCTAGTAGGCAGTCTGTGGCTTTCGACGCTCTCTAGCGCCGACAGAGGCGTCTTGCTGCTGCTGCTGCTGCTGCTGCTGTTGCTGCAGCTGTGGGGCTGGAGCAACAACTGCATGCTGCACCGCATTCATTAATGAGTCTGTCTTTTCAATAAACATCACCAACTGATCAACATACTCCTGCTGAGTTTGCTGGTTCTGAAGAAAGGAGACATCGTAAATAAAGGAGACAGCAAACGACATACTCAAACACTTTATAACACATCAACAGACACAGACAGAGACAGACAGATATATCTATATGCATATGTATATGTATATCTAATATATATATATATATATATATTTATATGTTCATACATATATATATATATATATACAAATATATATATATATATATACATAGGGCTTTCTCATTTTCTTGTTTGTTTTTGTCTGTTTGTCTGTCTCTCACCTTAGCATGAATGAATATAAGCATAAGCATCAAACATAAATATACAAATATAAATATAAATAAATATATATACAAAAATACATATATATATATCACCTTAACATGTAGCATATCTCCTTCGACTTTGACGTCTAACAGTGCAATACAGCATAAACATAAAATATATATATACATATATATAAATATATATATATAAACAATATATATACAAACATAATATATAAACATAATATATAAACACAATACATAAACATATATATATATATAGATATAGATATATACTTACCTTAACATGCAGCATGTCCCCTTCTACTTTGAAGTCTAAGAGTGCGTCTGCGTGATGATGTCCGACGTCGCCTGACGTCAAGACACCGCCCTTCCACATCTTTTGCTGACTTTGCATCTTTAAGTTCATCAAACCTCCGCGTACACTCCACTCTGCTTCTTCGCCGCTCTCGCCCATCAGACGCCCTAACTTCTACTCGTTTTTACGCAATCACAAACACACACACAAATATATATAATTATATATATATAGATGTATAGATTGTATATGTATATATCTATATAGATTGTATATGTATATATAGGTGTAAACATATGTATATATATATATATATTTATATTTATATATGTATATATATATATATACATATATATGTCTATATAGACGAGGTTCTTTGCTAGCTCCTCGCTAGCTAGAAGTAAGCTAGCTACCGGTTTGCTAACTACCTACCTACCTAGCTAGCTAGCTAGCTAGCTAGCTAGGTAGGTAGGTGGGTAGATGTGGTTCTTACGGCTAAGGGGATATTGTGATAGAGTTTAGTGAAGGAGTTGATGGTGTTAACTCTTCGCCGACTCTCAACGTCCTGCAAATATAAACAACAAAATATAATAAAACAAATAAAACAATGCAGCACTGCTGCTGCTGCTGCTGCTGATGCTGTTGCTGTTGTTATTGCTGTTGCTGTTGTTATTGCTGCTGCTGCTGCAGCTACTGCTCTCCTGCTACTGCCGCTGCAGCTGCTGCTTTCCTTCTGCTTCTGCTGCCGCTTCTGGTGCTGCTTCTGCTGCTGCTTCTGGTGCTGCTTCTGTTGCTGCTTAAGATATTATTATTGTTAATGTTATAATTACTTTTAAAAAGAGCTTGCAAACCCTAACTCTGATCTCTGATTTGCCGGAGACAAATCGCTCAAAAGCAGCATCGTCATATGTAGGAGGAGCCGACGGATCAATGAAGCGAGGTGCTGCCCATGTAAATAGCTCGCAATAGGCTTCTTCTGTATCTTGCTGCAGCCTAAATAGCAATTAAAATTGACAAACATCAGCAGCAGCAGACGCAGCAAACGCAGCAAATATACAAGCAGCAAAAAGAACAGCAACAGCAGCAAAACCCGCAACAAAACGCGTTTATTTAACACTTCTACACAACCAAATACTTAAACTGCAGCAGCAATATCAGCAGCAGCAGCAGCATCAGCAACAGGGAGAGGAACAGCAAAACAAAATAAAACAGCAGCAACATAAAGAGACACATTATCAGCAGCACAAGCAGCAGCGGATGCTGCCTTCTCTCTCTCTCTCTCTCTCTCTCTCTATATATATATATATATATATATACATCATATAGATGCACATATATATATTATATTATATTATATATATAATACCTGTAGTATTTATCGCTGTGTCTTTCTTTGATGGTTTGATGAATAGAGTCATCAAGCTTGACTCCGCAGAGCTTCGAGCAGAGCAGCAGCAGCACATGCATGCGATCTGCTGAACGCGTCATAGAGGCCCCTTGGAATGTGTTGCTGCCGGCCAGCTGTCCCCGCTGCCGAGACAATGCTAATAAAGCCTGAGACATCAAACGAATCGCGTCGTGGTATCGTCTGCAGCACAAACAACAACAGCAACAGCAGCAGCAGCAGCAGCAGCAGCAGAAAAGGCAGCAGCAGCAGCAGCAGAAAAGGCAGCAGCAGCAGAAAGCGAACAAATATTTTGAATATAACCGGAAACAACAATAACGCAGATAAGCCAAGCAATACGCCTGCTGTTGCTGCTGCTGTTGCTGCTGCTGCTGCTGCTGCTGCTGAGGCTTGTCGTTCCTGTTGTCTTCCCAATCAAATAGGCAAACGAAACCCGCTACAGAGCCCCTTAGTTCGTTGGCTAGCTAGCTAGCTAACTATCTGGCTGGCTAGCTAGCTATATGCCTAGCACCTTGCTTAGCTAGCTGCTTGGGTGGCTAGCTAGCTAGCTGTCTACCTAGCTGCCCAGCTAGCTGTATAGCTAGCTAGCTAGCTAGCTAGCTGCGTCTCTAGCTGGATATAAAGTAATACCTGAGCATCATATAAGCGAAGCCGAGGTGAAAGACAAAAGAATAGTGAGCGACAGGGACCCGCCAGTAGAAGGCCTTCGGGCTCAAATCCATCTCCTTCACTGCTGCAACTCCAGCGTAAAACAACCCCACCTGCAGCAGCAGCAGCAGCAGCAGCAGCAGCAGCAGCAGCAGCAACAGTAATAGTAGTAGCAGTAGTAGCAGCAGAAGCAGTAGCAGAGAGGGAACAGCAAAGAAGCGGCAGCGAACTAGCGACTGTTGTAACAGCAACAGCAGAAAAGCAGCCACAGCTCCAGCAGCAGCAGCAGGAGCAGCAGCAGCAAGCTACAACTGCAGCAGCAGAAGCAGCAGCAGCAGCAGCGGCAGCAGCAGCAGCAGCATGATTTGTTGCAGTTTACCTGTACGTGGAGTTTAAGCTGAAGTATAAGCGCGAAGTATCCGAGCTGAAGCCCTAGGTCTGTTTCTATTGCTTTTGCTGCTGCAGGGTCTGAGCGTTGCTGCTGCAGCTGCTCTCTAATGCCGCTCTGCTGCACTGTCTTCTGCAGCAGCTCAAAGACGCGAGCTGCCGGCCACACTTCGAGGTCCCCTAAATATAATATAATAAAAACAACAATTAAAAAAAGTATAAGAAAGTTATATATATAATATATATAATATATAATATATATATAATATACATAATATACATAATATACATAATATACATAATATATATACTATCTCTATATAATATAATATTATATATATAATATATATATATAATAATTAAAAGAGCAGCAATAAATAAGATATGACTGCCCGTATTTAATATTAATATTATTAATGTTAATAAAATAAAATAATTTTATACACACAGCTAATACACAAATACATGCAATAATAGACGCCGCACCACCAACAGCAGCACCAGCAGCAATAGCAGCAGCAGAAATAGAAGCAGCAGCATCAGCAGCACAAGCAAAAGAAGCAGCACAACCTTCAGCACAAGCAGCAGCAGCATCACAAGCAACAGCAGCACACACGCAGCAGGAGCAGCAGCTATAGCAGCAGCAGCTATAGCAGCAGCAGCTATAGCAGCAGCAGCCACAGCAGCAGCAGCAGCTATAGCAGCAACAGCTATAGCAGCAGCAGCAGCAGCAGCAGAATGTGGTGTCTAACCTTCAAGCTCAGCAATAAGCCTTTTTCTATCTGGAGAGTCTGCTAGGGTTTTGCACTTTCTCTGCAGCCACCGCGAGCTCTCTTGAAACTGATAAACAAATTCATCGAGCATATCCCACAGCCACTGTAGCGGCAGGGTTATTGTCTCGCGATCCTTCCTGCATGCAAACAGCAGCAGCAGCAGCAGCAGCAGCAGGAGGTGCAGCAGCAGCTGCAGCAGGAGGGGAGAGTGAGCAGCAGTTGCGGCATGCAAATTAAACATGCATTCATACAACCAAAACCACCCTAAACCCTAAACCCTAAACCCTAAAACCCTAGACACGAAACCCTAAGCTGTAAGGAAAAGACGAGGAAAAGAGAAGGAGGGATCAGGCGCTGGGAGGCCTGTGCGTAGGGCCGCATGATCTAGGGTTTAGGGTTTAGGGTTTATTTAGGCTTTATTTAGGGTCTAGGGTTTAGGGTTTAGGGTTTAGGGTTTACGCGCAAGTAGTATCCGCAAGGAACTCCACCAAAAGTGCATAATTATTCCACGAGTCGCGGCGGTGCTCCCACGTCGCCAGCTCGGGACACCTGCGAGGTGTACGTACACCTCAAAACCCTAAACCCTAAACCCTAAACCCTAATCAGTAAACCCTAATCCCCAATCACTAGAGATCACAAAGAAAATGCGCCCCTTATAAACCATTCCCAAGTCCCTCCCTTAACGACCCCAGCAAAACCCTAAACCCTAAACCCTAAACCCTAACCCTTATCCCAGCCCCGAAACCGTAGAGCATAAGCCGGAAAGCCTAAACCCTCGGTGTGTTGGTTCTGACTTGAGGAAGAGATGCCTGTAATAGAGTTCTTTGTACAGAGTCATGATAAGAGAGTGATAGCGCTGATACTCTCTATAGAAGTCTCCGACTAACTCAACAGACGGCCAAGGAGATGCAGCAAAATACTTCTCTGTTATCGCTGGATATTCTACTTCATATAAACGCCTTATTGCGTCCGCATCTCTGATGTACAACTTGTCGTATAATTCTCTCAAAAAGTTCTCCACTTCAGGCTCAAACGCAACCTGAACACCAAACCCTAAACCCTAAACCCTAAACCCTAAACCCTAAACCCTAAACCCTGAAGGAACGGAAGAACCTTTCTTTACCTTTGGGTCTTAAAACCCTGACTTTTCACGGGTTTATATGAGGTGTATATAGGTGCTGTTAAAGAAGCTGATGGAGGAGAGGAGCTGAAGACAATGCTAAACCCTAAACCCTAAACCCTAAACCCTAAACACTTCTTCTACAACGCTCACCCTCTCAGCCATCATTCTGTCGAGGTCTTCATCGGCCAGCTCCGCCTCCACCCTCTCGCGCTGCTGCTGCTCTGCTGCTGCTGCAGCAGCAGCATCTTGTGTCTCTGCTGCGGAATGCATGTTGCGTCTGCTAAGGGTTTAGGGTTTAGGGTTTAGGGTTTAGGGTAGGAAGACAACGGCCGCTGCGGCTCAGAAGCCCCTCCCCCACCGTATCCTGTAAAAGAGAATTCGAAATAAATGGGGCTGTTGCTCCTGCTGCAGCCTTTGCTTTTCTTCCTGCTGCTGCCGCTGCTGCTGCTGCTGCTGCTGCTGCTGCTGCTGCACGCTACACGCCCTAACAGCTGCAGTACGCTCACAGAAGAACTGGTGTTTGAAGCAGCAGATAATTAAAAACACTAAAAGAATTCGATAAGCCCCCGACAGCTGCTTATGGAGGTAGTGTTGCTTGAGGTGTACATGCACCCCACTGCAGCAGCAGCAGCAACAGCAGCAGCAGCAGCAGCAGCAGCCCCGTGGGGCTGCGGCGGTGCTGCAGCCGAATTTTAATAATGTTGGTGTTTATAATTGCATTTATTATGTTTATTCTTTTTTTAAGGATTGTAATAAACATTAAAACATTTTTGTCTCTTTTTCTCTCTCTATTTTAGTATGCGCATGCATTAACAATATACATATCCATACAGAAGAGCTGCAAGTACACCGTGTCTGGTGTATTGAGTTGCTTCTTTTGTTTCTTATTCTTCGTCTAAGATAACTCCTGAAGCCCTAACATTATCTGTGCATGCATCAAAGGAGAGAGAAGAATAGCTAGGTGTGGGGCTTCTCTATAGAGAGGCTCTTCTATTGAAACGCATGCAAGGGGGTGTCTCTTCAAAGTTGATATATAAACAATTACATTATCATACTCTCAAAATATCTTTAAGAGGGGCTTTAATCTCCAAACATATCGGAGACAGACACCAAAGACAGCCCCAAGTGCAGCACGCTTCTCTTTCTTGCATGCGTTATCCCTGTAAATAAAAGTAAATAGATATAAAATACATATTTTTTTCTCAATATGCATTTTACTCTCAAGGATAAATGCAGCTATCAACTTCAGACAAACTATGATACACCTTACAGCAACACTTGCAGCATAGATGCATGCAAAGAATCAAGCAGCCCTCATACTCTCTCTGCACCAGCGCGAATTGTTTGAACAGGTGCACTAAGGAGGCCTTGAAACTAAAGCAGAAAATACTGTCTTTTAAACAGGAGGAGAGATAGGGGAAGTAGGGGGGCCCTTCTTTTAAGTCTTAAGGGTCCCTCTTCGCTGCAACGCTCCGAGATAAAGGTCTCTCTTTGCATGCATTTTGCATGCATTTTGCATGCATTTCTGTGTAATTTTCCCAGGTGTATCAGCAGGCATCAATTAGTGAGCACACTGAAAAGAGGCAATAAGAATTCTCTGCAGTATCTTCAAAACCGTTGTTAGTTGTAACAGAGAATAAAAAGCTGCAAGACAAAGGGAGACAGCAGCAGCACCTGCAGTTTGTCCTCAACTTATCTCTTCGTTTATCCAAGTTAATATTAATGATCAGGAGTTGCTAGCGCCGCTTAACACCCGCAACATTTTAGTCAAAGACAAAGGAATACTTAATTATTCTACTGTACACAATTAATATAGTCGGGATAAATCTGAAGAAGATGCACTTTATAATTTAAAAAATAACCCTAGTTGGTGTTTAAAAAGAAAAACTCTGTGAACACGGTGAGATATATAAAGCTATAGAGAGGAGATGCAATTTTTTTTTGTATTTGTTTGCGCAGTCTCTGCGTATATCCCTAGGAGTTGAGAGACAAGAAAAGAAGATTAATGAAGCGGAAGAAATATAATTAAGGGCTCAACTGGTAGATAGATTTTATTTTTAGATTGTGCACTTCGCGCTAAATTAATTCATCATGACATAATCTAAAGCAAGATGTGGGGAACCCAATGATAAGTGCGCATGCAGCCTTTTGTTGCTATTATTGAGATATGTGTAAAACATACTTTAAACGAGAGAGAGAAGAAACAAACAGCGAGGAAGAAGATCTCTCAAACCCTTCTGCAATATTTGCATTCAAGGCTGTAAAAGGAGTAGAAGTTGTGTACATAAAGAAGAGAATACAAGTGCCTTTAGAAAAAGATAAAGAAAATACTTGTATGCATTGCAGAGGCGCTTCTGCATGCATTATCTACTGTCATACGAAGATAGCAGTTTGAGTGTTTAGGAAATACAAGAGAAACAACAAAAGTTGATAGAGTCGAGGGAAGAGCTCTCAGGTATATTTTATTATCAAGAATAATCAGAGGGGCTGCAAAACACAG